TACTTTGACAACTATTTTTATTTTTCGAACTATGAATGCTGCATTTTTTAATTCGTGAGTCAAGATTTTTCTTTTGCTCACAACATACCCCATAAAAACCAATATCCGTTTTTAATGGAGATAATTAATGAAGTAGATTTGAACATACTCATATTTTAGTGTTTTTAATGCCTACACTGCAGATGTTGCCTTGTCTAACAGGAGATTGCTGCACGTGGAAAGTCAGGGATAGTCAGCCTTTCCTGCAGATAATGAGATGTACATGCAGGACTGAATATCATTATGTAGATATCTTCCTGGGAGAAACATTTGATGGGTTATGCTACCAAAAAGCCCCGTGAGCAATGCTTCGATACCCATCACGGTCAGTGATGGTTTCTATTAGGAACTAGGAGCTGACTCACTGCTGTTTCTCTCAAGAGACAAATGTTTCTACAGCTAGTGGCAGCAAATTAGATAGTTTTCCAATACACCCAAGAAAGTGATTGCCATTTCTACTAACTTTTGGATGGGGGCAGGAAGATTTAAGAGCATCTTAAGTGGTTTGGAAAAAAAAAAAATTATACTGTTGTAACTTTTTTTTTTTGGCCTTATTAAAAAATAAAAAATATGGATAAGGGGGTTTTTTGTTTCTGTTTTTTGAGTGTAAGGTGGGATTTCTGGAATAATGTCAATAAAAATCTCTATTAGTGGTGACTGGCAAAGCTTTATTAGCTACAGCAGTGCATAAAAAGAAATGTTAATCTCAAAAGCATCTATTGTGAATGACTAGGAAAGGTCTTTAGAAATTTCTAGAAAACGGAAAAATCATGTATAAGATTCCCACTGTAAACAAATTATTTTAAATTATTTTAAGAAAAGTAAAATTTTTTTCTTCTTTCTAAAAAACTAATTTAGCCAATGGATTTCCAGTAATAAGTCCTTAATGGATATATTACGAACAATTGTGGTAACAGTAAAACAGAAGTGTATAATATGAGCATGAAGAATAATGATCCGTTCAGAGGCCAAACCTTTGCATATATTAGTCAGGAATATTAAAAAATATGAACATGCCAGAAAGGTGAGCTGAGAGGTGAATTAAGCAGAAGTAAGAAAAGATTGTGCAGAGATTTTCATCATGAATTGATCTATTGAACTGTTTCAAGTAAAATATAAAAAAAGAGATCTCTAAAGATTAATAGAAATGGAGCAGCACTGGAAGTTGAATTTCTGACTGGGAAGATTTCAGAAATCATTTGGGGGTTATAAGGTTATATCGTTCTGGTTCTGGAATCTTTTTCTGTCGCTAATGAGATGAGGCTCCTCTTAGGAGCAGAGGCTGCTCTCCCCTGCAAGCTTGTACAGTGCAATGAAAGTCATTCCCATATGACATTGCAAGGGGCAGCTGAATTAGGTCTCACCAGAACACCCGTGTCCTGAGTTACTGCCTTTGCTTATTGCTATCTAGTGGCACAGGCAGTGCGATCTGGAGAAATGGGGGTTTTTCTGCTTTGTCCAGAAACTGAGAGAGGAAGAATACTGTTTAAAGAGATTCTGCCGTGCTATGGGCTCAGCAGGTAATTTCAATGCAATCCGTCTCTGGTTTTTACTGAAAAAGTTTTGGTCCTTCTAACTGATACTGTAATAAAAGAAAACCTAAAATTTTTTAATCATATTCACTGATAAGTGGGTGCTCATCCAAGAATGCCATAAAACTGATTAGATGATCAAATATTTGGCATTTCTTCAGCTATGCATGTGTGAAAAACAGACACTTAAATCTCACAGGAGATACTAAATATTATGGAGTCAGCACTGTGAGTGTTTTTCATTCTCACTGTTGTTAAAGGGCTGATGCTGATTTCTTTCGCAGTGACTACCCCAATTATCTGAGGACTTTAGAAGTCTTTCAGAAGTTTTGATTACAGCCAATGGCATCCTAAACTAGGCCAGGGATAAAAGAGTATCTTAGTTCGTGAATAATTGAGTAGGCTTCTGTATAACAATGAGGTGCCTTATGAAAGGCAAATGTTTGTTTGCTGTGTGTTCAAATCTGCACCTATTTATTCATATTTATAGGTAAATTCATATGCTAATGCTTTTTCAAACACTGAGATACAAACTGTCTGTTGGTATAATAAGGTAAAATGCTGCTGAAATGCAGTGGAACTGTATTGTTTATACCAGCTTTAAAAGTAGGTTAAAAAATAAAATCCAAATGCAAGGATGTACCTTGGTGTATGTACATGCCATATTAAGAGTCCTTTTCAAGCTATTCCATTCTTCAGATCTCTCCTTTCCGTAAAGGTCTGGAAAAAACAGATGTCAATAAATTGAAGCAGTAACTGTCTGAAGGTAAAACTTAATGGTTCCCTCCTCTTGCTATTCAGTGTTCTCTTTTAAAAGCAAGGGCTGTTCATTCCTGCAGTTTATGTGCTGAAGCCTTTGAATTCATCCCAATGCTGAAATTTGGGAAAAGGCCTAATAAGGAGCAACCTTGAAGATAACTAGCATCTACTGCTCTTCGATGGACACTACTCAGGGAGTCAAAGCCTCCGTGCTGAATTTAGTCAGTTTAGCTGAAAACCCTCAAACTCACTTACACAATGCCCCAGACTGATAGCTAATGAAAAAAGACTGAAGTTGCCATTTGGGAGACCCTGCTCATTTGTCACTGAAGGAATTGCTTTGGCATATGCATTAGATGACATTTCATCTGGAAAATGTTCTCATCCTTGCAGGGAGAAAGCTGACTCTTTGACTTTGCATGTCTTCTTTTTCCATTTATTAGGGATACTTCTGATGTACAGGATCTAACATACTTTGCGTTGTAATGAAGTATGACTGTGCCATACTTATTGAAAAAAAAAAAAAAAGACAAAAACACCCCCAACCTTCAAGAAAACCTCTCAGTCAATTAACACAAAACTGTTGTTACCTTATCAATAGTTGTCCAAATTTCGGGTCATCTATAAAATGTGGATTCTGTGACTGTGTGCTAAAACTCACCACCACTGATGATGAGGCCTGTGTGTTGATCTGGTTTTCTAAAGAGAAGTCTTTGAGGACTGTAAACCATTAAGGGCAAGTAATTAAAATAAGGAAATCAATGAAAGATTTCAAATTAAGTCAGTTATTTACCATGATGAAGAACTTCTTAGGAAAAGACTTTTTCTTCCTCAGAGGAAGAAATGAGCTGAAAATACACATGGGCTAAGAAAAACAAAAAAACAAAAAACAGATCCTGGAAGAGGCAGGCATATTATTAAAAGTGACATTTCTATTAAATGAATAGAATGTTCCCTTTGGACAGTTGGTGCTATTGCTTTTAATAAGGTCAAAATAGTGTGAGTATCTTCTACCTGTGTGTGGAGCTTTTTACATCATAATGTTGTGAAGAGTTAATACGGGTTAATCAAGGGATAATTGTGAGAGCGATGCTGTAGCTCTGGCAAAGTAATTTGCAGCACTGCCAAGATGTTATTTGAAGAAAGTACTCCCTAATAAAGACGGTTTACGATGTCCTATGGTCAAATGTCTTTCTTTTTTTTTTGAGGAAATATGATACTGTCTTTGCTTTTCCCTAGGTTAGGTGAAGTAGTTTCTGAGGTAGGAAGTACTGTTGTACAGTTGCCACTCTACAACATTAGTAGACAAAACCTAAACATTGTATACTTTCTAAAAAGTATGCATGCAGAGGATATCATTAAGTGCTATGTTTTCTTCCAGAGGTCTTCATAATTAAACATACTAATACTGTAGTCCAATGGTGATGGTTTTGGTTTTTTTTTTAAATCCACTTATTTTGACTAATAGTATTCATCTGAGATAATGACAACAGGATAGTGCCAGTATTATTATGTAAGTTTACACTCAGTTTAGACAGCATCGCACTGAGGGGAAAACTTATATTAGCTCTCTATGTTTGTATTTCCTTATCTATTTATGTGTTTGGTAATGGGAGATCCATTTGATTCAAATAAAATACTGCTGTACTTCTTGTGTTGTTTAATAAGGCTCATCACTAAATATAATCAGTGGAACCATTAACTGGTATTGGGTTGGTATTTTTGGTTTTCTGTGTATCCTTGAAATAATAACATAAAATTCCATATAGTACTGCTTATAGAGCTGTGGAAGTACTGAAGAGGTGAATGAAGTAAACTATTTTCGTAGATTATAAAACTAGATTAATATCTAATCCCTTACTTGCATAATGCAATCTAGAGCATTTTCCTTAATCAACTTTTCTTTGAACTGCAAATGTATTCTTTGATAATTCAATCCTGATTTTAAACTTCTTGTTATGGCAATACCATCAGAATGCTTGGTAAATAGTCTCTTCAATGACCCTCGTTGCTTAAAAATGCATTTGAAGCAAAATCTAGTGTGTTTCTCATTAAAATGGGAGGATATTATTGTTTTGTTTCATACCTTCTGAAGGATTTTATTTTTCACTACATGCCCCCAAACTTTAATAATCTGCATTATTTTCCTTAGCAAGTTTGCCATTGAACTGTGTGAGAGAACTGCATGTCATTGTCCAGTAATGGTCCCATTGGTGCTTATTTCAACCTTGTTTTTTCTTTTCTGTGCATACAAGTTGAATACTAACTGCTTATTACTGTGTTGTGTTAAAAGCTGCAATTAGTGTTTCAAAGTGGTATCGACAGAGTGTAAATGTGGAAGCTCGAAATGCATGGAGTGACTTCTCTAAGTACTTTCTCCGATGACAGCCTTATAATTCTTATCATATTCAAAGTTCATGGGTTTACTTGCTTCTCAGGAATTGTCAAATGTGGCACACATGAACAAAATTGAAGCCAAAAAGTCTACAAAGGACTGACAATTTGGGATTGGTTGTGGAGAAATAATTTATGTTCTCAATTTTCCAGACTTTTAAAATAAAATATTGTCATTTTAAAATTTCTTCCTAAGGCAGTTATGTAGCTGAACTCATTTGTGATACTTTCCACCTTTAAAGAAAAGCTAATATAATACACTGATTTTGTTTGCAGATTTTCAGACGTTGTTGGTTGGTTTTCAAGAAGGCTTCCAGTAAAGGACCCAGGAGGCTAGAAAAATTTCCAGATGAGAAAGCAGCGTATTTCAGGAACTTTCACAAGGTAATTCATGCCTTTCTTGTGTACTGAAGCTTTGTCTGTTTACCACTCTTTGTTGGGAAGGGTGTGTTGCTGACACTAAAGGCATGATAAAATGCCTTTTGATGGTAAAAGGTAAAAGGCATGGTAAATCTCTGTGATGCAGGTCAGAAGTCAAAGTATTTTTTTCAGATAAGCCCAAAATCCTCAATGTGTGTCAAGTGACAGACTGATTTTTTTCTTTTAATATTAGTATGTTTGAAATGTCTAAAATAGACTTCATAATCAAGTGTTTCACCATTGGTTATTAACTATGTATTGAACAAATTCTGAAAATGCTAAGTGCCTTGGCTGTAATGGCGACTGGTTGAATATATAATGCTTTACTCGGAACTCTTCAAGATTTACAAGGTCTTGTCAACAGCAAGGATTTTTAAGGGTAAAAATTCAGGATTCACTGAATGAAGTACTCCTTGCTTTCTCTGTCACTGTGACTTCTGTGATGGAAAACACGATATTTGAGCATGAGATTTTCTTTCTGTCTTGAAAGTTACTGTTATCAGCTCCCCAAGTCAGTCAGTACAGTTCAAGTTAGCTAATCCTAAAATCGGGCAGGACTCTTCTATCCAGTCACTTCAGCTTTATGTCATGTCAGCATTAGATATTATGTTAAAACTGGCAAGTTGAAACACAAAGATGACTTAATCAAGGTCACAGAGCAAGCGATGAAAGAATGTGGATTTAAATCCATCTCCTGAAGGCAGGTCTAATGCTTTTTGTCATAAAACTGTAAATTGGCCTTTAAGTTTCAGTAACCTCTTGGTATCTTTAAACGAAAAATGTACATATAATAAATAGCATGCAATTATCCTGTGAATATTTTCTAAGAAAATGAGCCCCAGTAATTTCATAGAATCATCATAGAATCATAGAATGGCCTAGGCTGGAAGGGACCTTGGAGATCATCTAATCCAACCTCCCTGTCATGGGCAGGGACGCCACCTCTCGACTAGATCATGATACTCAAGGCTCCATCCAGCTTGGCCTTGAACACCTCCAGGGAGGGGGCAGCCACAACATTTCTGGGCAATTTATTATAAAGTCTTGCCACCCTCGTACTGAAGAATTTCTTCCTAAAATCTAATCTAAATCTATTCTCTTTCAACTTAAACCCATTTCCTCTTGTCCTATCAGTGGACACTCTTGTAAAAAGTCCTTCCCCAGCCTTTCTGTAGGCTCCCTTTAGATATTGGAAGGCAGCTATTAGTTCCCTCTTAGTCTTCTCTTTTCCAGACTGAACAATCCCAGCTCCCGCAGCCTGTCCTCATAGCAGAGGTGCTCCAGCCCCTGGATCATCCTTGTGGCCCTCTTCTGAACACGCTCCAACAGATCTATGTCCCTCTTGTGGTGGGGACACCAGAACTGGACGCAGTATTCAAGGTGGGGTCTGACAAGAGCAGAGTAAAGGGGAAGAATCACCTCTCTTGACCTGCTGACCACACTCCTCTTGATACATCCCAGGACACCATTGGCCTCTGGGCTGCATGAGCGCACTGCCGGCTCATGTTGAGCTTGTCGTCTATCAACACTCCCAAATCCTTCTCTTCAGGGCTACTCTCAACCCATTCTGTGCCCAGTTTGTATTTGTGCATAGGATTGGTCCGACCCAGGTGAAGGACAAAATCCATCTTCTAATCTTAGATTGGTATCCAGGTTTGGAACTGACACGTACTAGACAGTTGACACTTTCACTGAAGTACCACAATGACAATGTTTGCTCCTCTGTATAGGGGGAGATCAACAGCAAGTGAACGTGATTCTTCTCTTCAGTGTAAGTTTCAGAAAACATTTACTTTCAAAATGTAACTTAGTGATGAGTCTTCAGAAGGATTAATTGGATGGTTTGGTCTCATAGCTGGCAGTGGCTTGACCCTGGCTTCAGGCCAGGTGCCCACCAGAGCTGCTCTGTGGCTTCACTTTCCCAGCAGGACATGGTGGGGAGAAAATAAGATGGAAAAATCTTGTGAGTCAAGATAAAAAGCAGTTTAATAAAGCAAAAACAATGACTGTGTACAGAAGCAAAGGGGAAAACAGAAGATGTATTCTCTACTTCCCATCAGCAGGTGATGTCCAGCCACTTCCCAGGGAGCAGGGCTTTGGTACCCATAATGATTGCTCTGGAAGACAAACATTGTAATAGTGAATATCCACTTGCTTCTTCTTCTCTTAGCTTTTATCGCTGAGCAGACAGGATTGTGATTTTGTGACATGGAATATCCCTTTGGTCAGTTTGAGCTGGCTTTTCTGGCTATGTCCCCTCCCAAGATCTTGCCTAACCCCAGCCTACTGTTGCAGGGAGTGTTGGGAAACCACAGCCTTGGTGCTGTGTGAGTGCTGCTCAGCTGTAGCCAAAATACTGGGCTGTTATCAATGTCCTTCTAGCTACTAATACAAAGGCCAGCGCTGTGAGGGCTGCTGTGGGGAGAATTAACTCCATCTCAGCCAGACGCAGTACAACAGCTGTAGTGATGGCTGAAATTCCAAGGAGATCCCTTATCTAAGAAATTTGTATGGATTAACAGCTGGGCAAAAGAATGAAACTGTGGGGCTTTGGAGGCGCTTTTAGGGGATGAAGCTAAACTATATTTTTGAACGTGTTATTGCATATGGCATACTTCATGTGTAAGAGGACTCAGAAGCACTTTATGTGTTCCTTGTCAGCTCTCGTCTTTGTAGAAGAATCATGAAATGTAAGATTGTTTGGGAAGCTAAAAGAATAACATAGATACAGATGCAGCTGCATGTTGTAGTGTTAATGGAAGCATTGCCCTTTGCATGTAACATAAGCAAATGGGAGAGGAGGGTGTTGTTCTTTTTCATCCTTTTTTTTCCTCTTATTCCACTCCTTGGAGTGAGGGAGGGGGAAGTGTAAGAAAAGGATAATCTTTTGTATTTGAAAGGATACAGGGTTTCTGGCCATGGAGAAAAAAGAATTGGATCCATTTCTCAAATAAAGTCATGAAATTATTTCCGAAATTACATTATCAGAAAATAGAAACCCTGACTCTTATTCTCAGGCTTGATTTTTTTTTAAAACGGACATTCTATTATTTTGTAATGATTATTCTCCTCTACTGCCTCCATTCTGATAAATGAAATAGTGATGAAGTGGATATGCATAAGTTGTGAATAGTCATTGAGTGTGACTACTGAGGGAACAGTACAGGCTGTTGTGGGAGCAAATACAGTTATCAGATTGTTGGTATTGGATCAAAATACCTGATTTTCTTTCTTTCTTTTCTAGAGCTGCTATTGCTGTGTTCAAAATACACATTTATTGCTATTCAGTGCAAACTGTTAGCCATGTTTTGAAATTCTCTGTTTCCTCATTCACTCACAAAATATAAGGTGTGCAAAGTTGAAGGGCAACTCTGAACTCTAAGAATCGTTGAAAAAAATTGACTGAAAAATATTGAAGAAATAACACAATGGTATTTAAGGAAGACTAAAATGTAAGTTGAAAGCCTGACTACTAATGATAGGGTAACAAGCTTGAAAGGATGAAGGTCTCTGATTGCACACTAATATTTATATAAAAATATGTATATCAACAGTGAGATCCTTATTCCCGTACAATTTCTTCATATTTAATAGCAGAAAAAGGGTGGTGCAGAGGGGGACTCAGAACATACTGGGATTCTTTATGAACTCAAGTCCTTCACTTAAATTGGTCGAAGTTATCTTGGGAGAAGGTCTAGGAGTCTTACTAGGCTTACCATAATCTTACTAGATTGTACTGTGCAGATTTTCTAGCTTTCTTGTGTGGAGTTATGGGAGAAAATTTAGCTCTGCATTGAAAGCTTAACAAATATTAATACCATTGGTTTATCTCCATTCACATCAGTATCCAGGATCACAAACAGCAGCCCAGTATAAGTAACTCATCAAGGTCTCCCTTTTACATGTTCGAGCTTGAAATGTAGCTCAGAGCAAATTCCTGTTTAAAACACTTTGCCTATATATCTATATATCTCCTGTACTTGTGTAATAAACCTATGTAATGGGCAGTGGGAATTACAGAAGCAACTAAAAAGAAAGAAAAAAATAGGACTGGTAGGAAAAATCTAAGAGGATTCAAAATGGAGAGTTTCTGGTTTGCATATCCTAAATAAGTATTTATTAATGAGTAAATAAAATAAGCTGTCTTCTTAGAAAATGGACTCCCGCTCTCCTCCCCAGTATCCAGACAATATGTGGATTTATTTGTTATTCTGCAGATTCTTTAATGCTCTTGTGCATTGCTTTGGGTTTTTATTTCTCTACTCATTTTCTTATTATAAATAACAGTAATGGCATTAGTCCTTATAGTCAAGTGCCTCCTGACAGTAACACTGAATATTACATTCATTAGTCAAGACATGACCTCATCTGTTCATTCCACTTTCTGATATCAAATTGAAACTTCTCATTACTGTAAATTTAGATCGTCAAACTCCATCTCAGGTAAGTTACAGCTTAGCTGTACTCTTTTCCCGTGAGGATTCACCACAGAAGTTGTGCAGAACTTCTGTATTTACTCCCACCGCTCCCTCCAAAATGGGCATAAAGTGGCAATAGCTCTGCACCTGTCCTGGTGGTGGGTATGTTCTTGATAGCAGTTCCTCCACTATCAGAAAAGGCCAAAACCAGACACCACGGCTTTACCAGCTTAAAAGAGGGCATAAGTAACAAGATTTCATATTTTTGTAATAGAAGATAAAAGGTGTGAAAAAGTGAAATACATTCAGACTTCGGAGTAGTACTGATCAGGTAGTACCAGTGTGTATTACCCATTAGGAGAGGCTTGTAGAAGCATTACAAGAAGTCATCATGGCTAAATAGCAACACGAGAGTTACTAGAAATGAGAGATACAACTTCACAACCTGATGTATCCAAATAAACTTGAAAGCATTGCACTGCTGGCCAATTTGTACTTAAAGCAGAATGGGAAAGAGCGAAATAGAGCTTGAAGGGCAACTAACCA